ATTGGTGAAATCTTTGTATGATTTGATATTTTTAGCTTTTTTTTGGATGTTTTGTATCCAAACTATGATGTAGAACGATTGAAAGTGCTTGATTTTTTTTAGTTTCGTAGTTGTTTTCTTTTTATTTGAATGCATACAATATTTTTGTATCCCATTTTGTAAACAGTAACAATATGAGATTTTCGTATCCCATTTTTTTGGATGTTTTGTATCCAAATTATGATGTAGAACGAATGAAATTGTTTGTTTTTTTATAGTTTGAAAGTTGCTTTTTTTTTAATGCAGACAGTATTTTGAATCCCATTAAGTTAATGTAAATAGTAACTATATAGGGATATAGTCACAAAAATTCTGTGATATACTGAACGGAGTACAATTAGGGATTAAAAATCATAAAGTAATTAAGAATTGTATACCAATATTTGTTGCCTTGTAGTAAGTTGTGGATACAATTAAATATTGGATTCAATTTGTTATAGTTGAGCTAAAATGTGAAATCTTTGTATGTAAATACAGATCATATGTATTGAGTGCATGTTCTATATTTTTCTTTTTGAATCTAGTGATGTTTGAGCACACATTACATTTATGTAATTAGTTTATTTTATTTTTGTGTATTTAACGTGTAATTACTTGTTGGATACATACATCATTCCAATTACTCCCTTACCTGATCAAAACAAGTGGAATATACCTGGGTATAGTAAGGATGACATAGTGCGGCCTCCAAACCACAAAAAGCTACCTGGAAGGCCATCTCAGAAGTATCGTGACAAGGCGTACGAGTTATATGGGAAGAAGTGCAAGAATTCTTGCAGTACTTGTGGGTTTAAGGGGTACAATAGGCGTTCGTGTAGTAATTGGATCGCGTATTGTTTAGTTAATGATGCTTGAATTTCATATCTTATTAGAGTGGAATTGTTTCCCAATTTCTAATGCCCTTTGTTTTATATATTTACTTGTTTGAAATTCTTTGAATATGTATTCAACCGAAATGTATTCATATTCATGTTATGAATTTGTTTATTTTATTTTTGTATTTAACGTATAATTACTTTTAAAGTGTAATTGAAAAATTATATGAGTTACAAATTTAAATTATATAAAAAATGGAATACAATCTATATACCTAAAGATATGTATAACTTAAAATACAAAAAAAAATGTTGGTATAGAATTATAATGAATACAACTCTTTTGGCATTCTAGTTTAAGAAAAAAAAAATATAAATACAAATTAGTAGTAAAATAAAATGATATTGAAAATACATTTTTGGTGAAAACATAAAACATAGAATAAGTTGTATTCAAACTAAATTGTATTTATATTTCAATGTCGAGTCTTGTTATATTATTATTATTTCACTTTAAAATTGTAGTTACTATTTCTCTGGATCAGTTTATATTCCAAAAATCAGGATGTATTTCAATATCAGTTTGTATTCCAAACGCCAAATGAATACCAAATAAGTTTGTATTTCTCTTCATATAGTGTAGTCATCACAATTTTATATATTATGTTTTCATCAAATTTATATTGCTTTAACAAAATAAAATACAAAAATATGTCTTCCTAATACAGTTAGCAGAGAGTATACACATGAATACAAAAAATGTCTTACAAAAAATAAAATATAAAAAATGTCTTACTAATACAATTATGATTAAAATACAAAAAATGTCTTACTAGTACAGTCATGATTAAGACTTGTATAATATACACATGAATATACTGTAATTTTGTAATTTGTAACATAAATATTTGATGAATATCTAAACAAAATCACATAAAAATCGAAAAAATTGACTGAAAATCCATAATATATACAATCCGAAATATACACCATAATAGGTGATTTTAAAAAGCAAATCAAAATACTCAGTAAATAATGGAAATTACCTTTGCCAATCGAGAAATTTCTTGAATTAATATAGAGATTTCGTTTAACAATCGAGAAATTTCTTGAATTAAAATAGAGATTTTGTTGAACAATTTGTGAGAACCTTGAAGAAAGAGAAGCTGGTAAACGTGAAAGGTGGGGGAAAGAAAACGTGAAAGGTGGGGAAATAAGGGTAATGGGTAGTGGTGTAATTATTTTTTTCTTTTTAAACGGTTATTGGTTTAGAATTTGGTCCAATATAGGACTGTTTTGATAAATAAAAGGAAATTTAAATAATAAAATCTGAATACAAATTATTTTCTAAAATATTGTCATTCTGACATTTTAAATAAATTTTTTAAAGTGTTGTTATTTTAACTAATTATGTTAGGTATTACAATACTTGATTGCTAATTTTTCCTAAAATAAATATCACAATTCATAACTCATTTCATACACTAATAGGGGTCGTTTGGTACAAATATTAATAATGCATGGATTAGTAGTGTTGGGATTAGTAATGCTGAGATTAATAGTGCAGGGATTAGTAATGCAAGGTTTATTTTTATCAAGTGTTTGGTTCATTATTAATCACCTCATCTTCTGTTTGGATTAAAATTTTATAAAAAAACTTCTTTCCAATTATACCCTTGAATTATTATGTAATGGGATTAAGGTAAATAATTGCCGGACAAATATTATTTTTTATGGCCTTCTAACTAGCTATGAGAAGAACAATTTTGTTGTCATGTTTGCCTTTTTTCACTTAAATTATTTGAGGATAAATAATTGTCATCATAGTAAATTGATCACTTACAAAATGTCAATTTTCAAATTATAAAAGATAAACTATCAACTTTTAAAATTGAAAAGACGGTAAACAATTACAAAATTGAATAAACCATCTAAATTTACACATAAAAATTGCAAGTTATAGTTTTAATATGTATGCAATTTTATAAATTGTTCAAATAAAAAATAATTAAAACAAACAATTAGTTAATGTTAAACATCTCACATTTCAAATATTGTATTAATTTGTGTTGGATTTGTTTAGTAACAAACAACTCTCTGTAAATAATTTATAAGCTAATTTATTTAAATAAATTTATTAGTACAAATATAAAACATAAAATCAAGAAAATAAACAAAATAATTAAAATGATTTGAGGATATTTTGGTCTTTACATAGACTTATCCCATGATATTATATCCTATGTATTACTAATATCTCCAAATGGAAGGTATTAGTAATACACCATATAATACCATGTAGGAGGTATAACTAATCCATGGATTAGTTATACATAGGCCCAAATTCCTACTAAACATAGTATTAAATAATACCATATATAATATATGGACTATTTTTCTTAATGCGGCCTACCAAACGACCCCTTATATTTCTTGTTTGGTTTTAAGAGGTCAAGATAACAACATTCCCTTTAACCTAGAAGTTAGGGTCGTTCATGGTTATGATAAAAAAAAAATCAAATTGAACTGCAATTCGATTAAAAAAAACTGATGTTTGGTTTGATTTTAAATTTCGAAAAATCAACCCTATTTGGTTTAGTTTTGATTTTACTAAAAGAAACCCGCAAAAATAACTAAACCAAACCGAGGAAAATGTATATATAAATTCTATAATTATTTGTATATTATTCATAAATAAAATAAAAATATTTTGTTAAATTTTAATTAACTATAAGTCTTTTAACTTTACCATTTTCTCTAGCCTAACACTTAAATTTTAGCCTAACTATTACAATCTTAAGTCCAAGTCCATCAAAATTCATTAATTTACTTTACCTACCGTACATAAGATAGTCACACATTCTCTTAATTGAACCATTTTGTTCGTGTAATAATAATTATAATATAGCTTAATTGGTTAATTGAATCTATATTAGCTTTCTTGTGGATTATACATATACTAGGTGTCTGTGTCTATCAAGATACGTATGTCCTAAAAAAGAAATTACTTTCAAACTGAAAAACCAAAAAAAAAAAAAGAACCAAATCGACGGTTAACTTTTTCATTTGATTTGGTTTTAGAAATTTAAAAATCAACTAAATTTATTGGATTTTGATTTTAACCAATAATCGATTCAAACAGAACCACACACACTCCTATAGCTAGAAGCATCAGTAAGCCTCGAACAATATCCTTCATCGCTTCTTATTTGAGTTGATCAAAGGTGACAAATGAACAAACATCTTGCAATAGCGAATATTTTCCTACTTATAAGTATCGATTCTTGTTGAAGCGATCAACCATTGTAGTGCTTCAACAATGTGTACACATATTATTAGTAGCTACTGAAGAAAACAAGTTTTTTTTTTAAGATTAAACTAATTTGAATACACGCAAATGAATCTCTTTACAAAATGAATTACTCCATGTAAAAGTCAAAAAGTTATCTTCTAATGAATTATTTTTTTTAACCTCTTTTATACTTCTAACTTTTCATGAAAAAAGAAAAGAAGAAAGAAGCAATGCTCACTGTCCAGACCCAGATTTTTGTTTAGTTCCAAACGATTCCAAAAATGGACGTTACACTTCACTTAAATTAAAAAATATTGCACTGTGTTATACATATATAATTAACATTTACTCCGTGTATAACATATACATATTATGACTAATTACACAATATATATATACTTTATAATCATTTTCATACAAAATAGATACACATGAGTTGGCGAAATATATAGCATAAAGTTGGTCATTTAAACTTTTTTTATGATCATATTTTGTCATTTTCTCAAATTTTATACTTGAAATATTACATTATGAGGTAAATCAATGGGATTTATTTAAGAAAAATAGAAATAGAAACAATTCCATGACTAATTGTAAATTGAACAATTCTCGCTAAAAGAAACATAAAATTAAAAATTATTATACACATATTTATATTATAGTAAATGTCTTCTATATGGAATCTTTTTGAGAAATGTATGGAGTTCTAGTTGGAGACCAAATCAAATTTCCTATATTTCATAGATCAATTAACTATCGTTCGAGAGGAATAATCGAATAAGTCTATCTTTGTTTTGTTTTATATAGTTTTATAACAAAAATAATTTTGTAAAATACTTGTACAAAAACCAAATGCATTAATAATCACAGTTATCCTTCTCTCTCTCCTTCAATTTTAGCACCAAACGAACTCTCATCACTGCAACTTCTTAAATCTGGAGATGGATTCCCATTGACGAACTTTAAGTGAAGAGGATGGTAGCATTTTGTGGCGCTCTCTCCTTCTTCCCCTGCCTCTCCAACCCTGGTAACCCTCCCGTTTTGTATATCTATCTTTAGTATAAACTGTTTCTTCGGTTTTTTTTTTTTGAATTACGTATATATTTTTGTTTCTTGTTGATTGATTTTAGATCGGAGATCGAGTTTTTGCTTGAAATTAGTGTTGGTGATGCTGCACCTGACCTATGTCGGTATTCTATTTGGTTTTGACAAAGAATTGATTCAAAAAACCAAACAAGGCCCCTGGTAACTAATATACTCAGCTCTACTATCATTTGCTTCAATCAAAACATTATCCTTTGTACATTTATAATATTGGTAGGATTTTCAATATCTTTTTTCCGAAGCTCATTGTTTTATTTTATACATTGGGGTAAAACAGTGAGTTGATTTTTTCCTGATATATGAAGGAATCAATTGATATGGAATTGGTTGGAAGATGCAACATTGAGATAATCAGCATTTGTTTTCCAATACTTGCTAAAATTTCTAGCTAAGAGTAGTGATGTAGTTTCAGAGTAGATATAGACCAAATTGACCATCAAATGGGGGAACTTAGTATAATTTAAATGCCAAGTGGTTCTGTATCAATCTTTCAATTAAACTGCTTTATTGGTACTTCTGAGAGAAAAATAGTGTTGGCGGATACACATGTTAGAAGCTGAACTTATTTCTCCATCTCAAGCAAGTAAAATTGGGCTCTGAGGAAATAGTAGACTTCCAGGTTGGTTAGGGGCTGAGTGCAATGAAAGAGAAGGAGACAGGATCTTTAACTCTTAAAGGGAGTCCATTCTCTTTTGAAATTTAGGCTTAAATTTTTAGTCGAGTGACAATCAGGTTGTGAGTGGTTAATAAGACTTTTGAAGAGATTCATAGGACTTAATTTACGCCATCTGGCATTGGACATTATAGATCGTGTGTGATTAATAAGACATCCGAGTCAGCAACTTTTTTGAAATTTAGGATTAAACTTTCAGGTGAGTTACAATCAGGTTACTAGTGAGGCCTAATTTTTTTTATGGTTGGTACTGAGGTAGGAACAACTATAAAAATTGTAAGAGCTAGACTTGCATATGGTAAAATTGCTTTTCCTCCTCCAGATTAAAAATCTGAAAAACCATATTTTATTGATGTGGTAGAATGCAATGAGTTCTAGACACAATTCATTGTGAAAGTGCAGGTAGGAATGAAGGTTCTTTTAACTCACAGTCCTGTGTTTCATTAGAACCTTCTCTCTCTTTTTTTCCTTTTCAGAATCTAAAAACTCCATAATGGTGCTGAAACGGAAAGATATTTTTATTTTGGGTGGGGGTAGAGATCTAGGTTTACTGCCCATCAATATAAACTTTTAGAACTATGTAAATATAGGATACCAAGGAGATCATACTTGAGTTATTTTCCAATGCAATTTTACAGTTTTCATATCTTTGATTGTTTCGCTGTATTATTATTCCAAATGTTTCACTTTGTTTTTGGCACTTTTATGAAATTGCTGACCACCCTCCTTTTTTGCCTTCAAGGTACACGGCAGTGTATTTGCTGCTGCTTGTTGCTACACTGGCTAAATACTTCGTCGTATGTAGTTCTTCTCCTGGGTAATTAGGCTGGAATTTTGTTCTTAAGCTAAGCTATACGGAATCTTTACTAGCTTCACCTACTACATTGTTGAAGGGCCTTAAAAAGTTATTTTTCATGAACATGTAGCTATGTTCTTGATGCAATGAGGGCTATGAATGAGACAGATGCATCGCGTAATAGGGAAACAATTACCTCTATGTAAGATATTTTCCTCTCTGGTTCTTTACCTGCAAAATAAGTAATTGGAGTACAATGATTATTCCCTGAAAGTCAAGTGTAATAGGGGTTTATCTAATTTCTGTTGTTTTCTGCCTTTTGTGATATATGATCAAGCAAAGACAGCCTGCTTCGAGCAAAAATGGCAGTGTAGTTATCACAATCAACAGAAACCAGTTAGAAAAGAATCTTCTAGGGAGTGGTACAACTTCCTGGGAAAAGCTAGTGATGGATATGTATCCTCCAGGAACATCTGCTAGGTAGGCTGACTTGAAAATCAGCATGTTTATTCTTTTCTTGTTATATTTAAAGCAGCTTGAGTGTTTTGTAACTATTATACAGCCTGATTTGAGTCTGTGAAATGTGCTTGATGAACTATATATTTCATAGTGCTAGTTGGACCAGGAGAATTCTGTGTTCTTAAACTAAAAAGCTTATCGTGGTAAATATATTTATCTCCACTATCCATTTTAAACAACATGGTGCTTACCTGCTTGGCTACGTGATCAGCTGTTGGTGAACATATTGATGCTTTCAGATATAAATGTTATAGCAAGGTACTCTATTTGTAAACTGCATAATCCTATGAAGAAGCAAAACTGCAGTATAGCATGCAAGTGAAGCCCTTTATGTGAAGCAGGAGAAGCTTAAGCTTGCATTTTAATTAAGAAATCAAGATATGGTAAAGAAATGTCCATATAAGCAAATCATGAGATTTGTTATGAGTGGGTTGTTTAAAGGTGTAACTGATGGGAATTAGCTACAGCTGCTTGCAGTGTCAAGGATGGTGATTTTCCTCTCAAGGTTCTTTACATCGACAGATCTTGACACATTATTAGATGAGTTTGTTCAGGAAACTGATGTAACCACTAATATCTCATCTGTTATGTGCACAATTTGTGTGATTACCTGTTCTTTCTTGTTCATCGCTTTTAGAAGCAGTTAGCGATGGACCATATAATATTGAATGCCTAGACATTGTTAAATGGTGATATATTTGCATCAATAAAAGGGGGAAATGTTGCCATAAGCTTTGCCACTGTAAACTCTTCTTGTCTCTCTTCGATGATGAAGTTTGTATTATCTTGGAGCTTCATGACATTTTAAATTCTAATAATGATTTGGTGCCGGTTGCTGGTGGGAGGTGGTAAGTATCCCGTCGAATTAGTCGAGGTGCGTGTAAACTAGCTCGGACACCACAATTATCAAAAAATTATTAATACATATATATTCTAATAATGATTCTCAAAGTTGGTGGACAAATGTTTATCTTGTAACTTCAATCTGCCAAAATTATTTCCTTTCTATGTTCTTTCTGTTCCACAGTTTTAGGTAGAAATATTACTGCACAGTTGTGCGGTTATGGATTCATAATTTGCCTAGTGTTCTCATCAAGTTCCCTTGCTAACTAATTCTATTTCTCTTTTCCAGAAGTGTGACTTGCACTTACTGTAATATAGTGCAGGTAAAAACTCCTATCTCTGTCTTCCATTCGTATACAAAGCAAATTTCTCAAATACTTGCTGGTGATTCTTAATGATCGGGAGTATCTTTGCATTAGCCAAATTATTTACATGATATGGGAGCCATATGCTATGAACCTCTGTGATAGGTTTTGGCATGAAATGAGTTGAATTTTGGACCTTAAATGTGTTGCCCATATTTTTCTCTCCCGTGACATTACTTGTTTTACCAACATATTCCATCCATACATGCTATACTTTCATTGAGGTATGCATAGCTGGTTGTATGAGATAAACGAAACATTGATAATCTCTCTTGCATTTGGAATTGGTGAAGTCAAACATCGTCCTATCTTGTGTGCATATCTTTGTGAAAGGATCTTGGCTACTTCTCCTTAGTTGGACACCATTTCTATACCTTTTTCTCTTTTTTTCTTTTCATCTCTTTGTCAGAGTTTGGCATGCAAACATGTACTTTCCAACATTCTTCGTCTTTGTGCTGCATTTTGGATTGGACTGTGTTTGTGGATTTTGTGATCTTGTGTCTGGTGCTAGCTTGAAACTTCAAACTGCTTTTGTTTTCTTTCAATTTAAGTAACTTTATACACAAAATTGAGCATATGCTTTTGAAACCTAATACTCCTGCCAAATTACACTTCATGGTCCTTAATCCTATATCTGCACATTCTCCTGCCTAAACAGATTGTCTCTTTTGACAAGCACAAAAACTTTTCCCACCGGGAAAGATCAAAGAGGTCAAGTTAATAGGTAAAGATTAAAAGAGAAAGTGGGTTAAACAATGAGACTTCCCATTGGTTATTTGTCTTGTTAAGTACATGTAATTTCTCCTGTTATGTTGTTACAGTTTTGCTAACAATTTTTCAGACTTATAAATCGTTTTTCTACTTGAATTACAGCCTCCACGAGCTAAACACTGTCATGATTGTGACAAATGCATTCTCCAGTTTGATCATCACTGTGTTTGGCTTGGCTCATGCGTAGGACAGGGTAACCATTGCTGGTTTTGGTGAGCAAGTTTTCCCCAATTTGATACACTTATGTTATTTGTTGCTTTCTGTTTAAGAAAAAACATTCCAATTCAGTTGAAGACCTTTAAGTGCACTGGTCAATCCCCTTTAATCCCCCCCTCTCCCATTCACACACACAACCAATAGAGATGTTTTCCTGTGTATCCTATATGGGGCGAAATCTGAAATGGATTTCAAGAGATAATAGGTTTTTCGAGACAACTTCCTTCCATGTGATTATAGGTCTACCTCATCCTTTTTAATACTTTCAATACCATTGTTTCGCACATATGGACTGGTGTTCAGAGGTTGACATAAGACATAACTAAACTGTCTCAAGTGAACTCTTGTTTTTATCATCTACATGTACAACTTGCACCTCCTACCAATGTGATTATTTTTAATATTATACAGTTTTTATTCTGGTCGCACATTCATCTTAACATCCGCATTTTCGCGACACTTGTGGATATGCCAGACCTCAGAGGCTCAATATTCACTCCAAATAAACATTGTTGGTCTTACAATCACTTTATAGAAGTTATGTTTCACTTTGATAGATATCCTCCTATGGCATACCTCTGGTAGCACTTGTCTAATTTAAATATTTTATTTTTATCTTTCATCAAAAATTAGGTAGGTCCTCCTCCTTCATTTGGGCGTGTGACCAACGGATTTAACATAAGTACATTTAAGTTTAAGATTTATGTTTTAGATGCAATCCTTGTTTCTGGAAAACGATACATACATATGTACATATATTTGTCAGCATCCCTCTCTTTTAGCTTTATTCCTTTTTCCCAGTTGTTGTCATTAAATGGGAACACAAGGTTATCCTGTGTCCTTATGATTTAGTTGACAATTTAAAATTTATTTTAAGATTATTTTTTCCTTTAAAAAAATGGTATTGTCCATGGCAAGTTGGTCAAGTTGGATAGGTCAAAAATTGGCCAGAGTTCGGTAAGTTTGGAACACCTGTAAGAATATATTGGGGCATTTTATAGAGTGCACAAGACTTGGAGACATTGATGGTTGGACTTGTCAGTTTCTTGGAAGACGTTCTTTAGAATGTCTAATTCATTGTTATCTAATTTGCCAAAGCAATAGGCTTATGTGTCTATAACATGCAAGTACACTTGATTTCTGAGCTTTCAACTGGCTATGACCGTTAGTTGACATGACAAAACTCATATTTTTTTCTTACTCTCTCCATTCCTATTTATAAGTCACCGTTTTAGATTTTACATCCCTTAAGAAACTATGTAAGTTTACCATTGTATCCTTATTTAGTATTCTCTTGAAGTCAAGTTTTTAATAAATGAACATAAATTAATTTATTTTGATTAATTACATTGACCAATGAACATGAATTAATCATTTAGTTTTCCTATGTTGGTCAAATTCGTACTTTCTAGGCTAATAACTCTCAAGGGTAAAATAGGAAGAATAATGTCATTTATGCATTGATTTTGTGAAATGACAAATATTAAGGACCATCTATTTTAAGTAAGGACGACATATGAATAGGGACGGAGGGAATATAACTTATGTTTATATTGCATGTACACATTGTGCTTTTATTCTATAGGAAATTCCTGTTTATCTTTGTTTCTTAAGGTTTAAGTTATTGGTCTTTGCTATAGTTATTTACCTTTCCTAATATAACAGGTGGTATCTTTGCTCGGAAACAGCCTTTTCTCTTTGGACTGGCACTTTATATATTCAATACTTGATATCTCACGTATCAAAGCCATGGTATGTATCTGTCTGTCAGTGATTTATCTTATGAGGGTTTCTTTTTTCAATAGCGTCCTGGCATAAAAGAAGATGGGAGTTTCGCATCTCGTCACTGCAATATGTCTTCCTTTTATATTCTACTATATACTCCTTCCATTCAAAAAGAAAATATGGATGGAGCTTTAGGTGGAGCATACTAGAGAAGGATAATCTGCATTGCTGTCCAACTTAAATTGAACCTGTGAAAATTTTATGGTTTATGCTTCTTGAACTTCCAATGGAAGTTTGTTAGTTTTCAGTTCAACTTCACCTATGTGCCCTTTGCATAGTCAGTCTAATCCTGATAAAGGAAGGAGGTTGCAGTAGGTTAACGGTCAGCATAAAAGTAGTCAATAGTATCATGAATCCTATAGACATTAGCAGACCCAAGTGTTTTTGAGATTGGGGTATAGTTGATTGGTTTTGATAGTTGGTTTCATTTGCATTAGGATAAGCTATAAGTTTTTTTATTTATATATTCTTTTTTTTAATACGGATCAGAATATCTGGCTTGGATTTTCCTCTGAACAGAGAAAATACATAAAAAGCGCTCAGTAATTTCAGCTTCGATCATCTAGGGAAATATTCATCACCTCCAGGATAAGCTATAAGTTGACAAGTGTATTCAATAGTCTTTTCATCTTTTTCTGCATTTAAGATTCAACTTAGTGAAAAGCGGATTCTTGCACTTGTTGTTACTTTAAAGGAAGTTCCAAATTTTGTTGGATGGAACACAGATGAGTGGATTTGAATCTGTCGTTGCTTGAAATGTCTGTCCCTCTTTATAGATGTAAGAAGCTTGGAAAAAAGGTGATGCCCTTACCCTTTAATTACTGTTGGCATTGTCTTCTTCACATGTCACAGAAGGTTAACTCTGACCGAACAATTTGAAGAGAAAACATAGAAGTCTTCTTCAAAGATTTCAAGATGATTAGGAAGTATCATATAGTTTTTTTTATCCGATTTCAATTAAGTTCTTTCAAATTTCGGGAAATTCATTGATTCTTTTAAAATTTATCAATTCTAATTTTGAAGTTATATGAAAATGAGTAATTGATGATACCTTCAAAATTTTAAATTTTCTTAGAAAATAATTAGTTTTGTTATCAATAATTTCATAAAGTCTAGAAAATAGCATGAATTCTTTTTTATAAAAATATCATTGAAATAAAGAATTTGACTGGATAAGAAGCAGTGTTCAGGGAAGCGTGAAGCGGAAAAAAGCGATAAGGCCCCACTTCATGCTTTAAGCGATGAAGCGCTCACATACTCATTCTAGTCTGTGAAGTGTAGAAGGCTCGCATCGCTTCGCGTGTTCACTTTCCTGAACACTGATAAGAAGAAGAAAAATAAAAATGGGAGGGGTTCAACTTGACGTGGGGTGGGGTGAGGGTGGGAGGTGAAGAAAAAGAAAGAAAATGAGGGATGGATCACTTGAAAGTGGGGGTAGAAGATGAAGTGGAATTTAGAAAACTAAGGAAGTGACTTCTACCTATGGTATTAGCCTATGGAGATCAATTAGAAATTTGTGGCATTGTTTCTTTCAAATGCTCTAGGTGTTTCCTATGTGGGGAAACCTTAGAAACTGTAAACCATCTAATTCTACACTGCAAATACACTCGGTAGCTTTGGAGGATTTTCTTGAGTCTTGAAGGCATATCCTGGACTATGCCTAGGAGAGTTACTGAGGCATTGTACAGCTGGGAGGAGGCAGGTGCCCTTGCAAAAGACAGAACTAGATGGAGAATTATCCCTGCTTCAATATGGTGGGCAATCTGGAAAGAAAGGAATTCCAGATGTTTTGAAGGCATAGAAAATAGTGTGCAGGATGTTAAACTAAACTGCATTTTGTTGTTATGTTTTTGGTGTAATCAATTATACTCAAATGACACTGCCTCTATAGTTGATGTTTTAGACTCAATATAGAAATAGAGTAGGAGTGTCTAGAGTGCATCTGTATAAAAGGTTTGAGTACAACCCATGTACTCTTGTGATATAATACATCGTTACCATTTTCAAAAAAGAACTAGATTCAATGTAAACAATGGAAGAAAGATTTTGTTTTGGGACGATAATTGGTTAGGAAATGGCAACCTCAAACAGCTCTTTCCAGACATCTATCTGTTGAATCAGCAACATGAGGCCACTGTGCAAGAAGTTTGGTCCATCCATGGATGGAACTTAACATACAGAAGGAGGATACAAGACTGGGAGGTGGATAGACTAGCTGAATTTTATGGCACCCTGGACCATTTTGGAGGATTGAAAGAGGGAGAAGACACTCTTAGGTGGATTCATCACAACAAAGGTATCTTCACAGTTAGCTCTGCCTACAAGAACCCGAATCAAATGGGGACTCAACTCAGATTTTTGCCTTGGAAGCTTATCTGGAAAGTCAAAATTCTATATAAGGTGACAGTCTTTACTTGGTTGGTAGTTAAAGAGGCGGTACTAACACAGGAGAATCTAATGAAGAGGGGAATACATATGTGTCCTAGATGTTTTTTTTGTGAGCAACAGGCAGAGACAATCAACCATCTGTTTCTTCATTGCAAGGTGGTTAGACAACTGTGGCACTTATTTACCAGCTTCAGGGGCACAAACTGGACCATGCCACAAAGGGCAAGTCAGGCTATAGAAAGCTAGAACAATGAAGGCAGTGGCAGTACAGACCAAAGCAGATGGAGGATTGTCCCAACAGTGATTTGGTGGACCATATGGAAGGAGAGAAATATGAGATGCTTTGAGAGTAGTAGTAGTCCTTTACACAGGATTAAAATGAACTGCATAATCACTTTTTGCTATTGGTGTAGTTCGGAGTATGTAGATGATCCTATAGCGGTTAGAGATATCCTAGGTCCTTTGTAAGATGAAGTAGGATCTAGTTTAGTTTTGTTTTAAGTACACGCAATTGTATGTAGCTCCATGATGTAAATTTGGGATCCTAGCCTTTAGTGCCAAATATTAATACACAAAACTGTTACCTTTGTCAAAAAAAAAGATGAAATCAAAATTAAAATAAGTCAAAAAGTAAGAGAGAGAAATAAAAAAAAACTTTAAATGAATTTTTTTTTACATTTTTAATTAAATTAACACGTGTCATGTAATGATTGGTGTGTGAACACACTTGCTTCTTAAAATCTGGGGCTGATCGAAAAATGATATAATAATATCTGTTCAAAATTGTTTAGTGGGGTAATAGGACGGTTGTAAAGTTAAGGTGTCTTTTTAAAAATCCGTGACAACTTCAGTGGTGACTTTATGTCTTTTCTCGAGATAAATTTGTTTTGCGTATGTGCACTGCATTTGTTTACTCTAAGTTGGGAGATTGGAAAAAGAATGATAATATAGCTAGATTAAATTAATCTACAAGTACCGGTTCTTATTTAGGTTCCTTGAGTCTAAGATGAATATGGAATTACTTTGATTGCGTAAGGTTGCTAGAACCAATTTTTAAGCAATTAACTGTGGTGACTGTAGTAAAAGAAGAGGCTACATCATGAGGACAACACTTAAGCTGATGTGACAAGGCAGTGCTGACATGATGATTGGTTTAACTTCTGTGTATATATGTGTGTGTGTGTGTGTGTGTGTGATGCAATTACATAAAAGCTCAGGCTTCTCTTGACAGTCCTGCAATCCAGAAAAACTAAAGATGTCAAATGTGACTTTGGCTTTGTTGCAGGTGGTCATATGCAATTGTTTTCTTGCTGTTAGCTGTTTTGTCTATTTGCCTCTTCTTTCTTATTCTCCTCTTCATATTCCACAGGTAAGATTTCTCATTTCTGGTTTGTTAACTCTTGTTACTTAGTGGCATTTGGTAGTTTTGGTTTTCCTTGAAATCTGTTAAAAGTTTAAGTTCTTAAATGTCATGTTTGTCGGCTCCTGAATTTGTTGCCTGGGTTATGTGGGTTCTAGAAACCATCTATTTCTGTGGGTGATTAGGAATTCATGGACAAGGGATGTAATGATTGTCACAATGTAATAAATCTGTCGTGTAAAGATGAGAGAAATAGACTCAATATCACATCAATTTGATCTTGTGGGATAGGTCACAACACATTCTAACTAAGCTAGGACAAACTTTGGGCTAATCTTTGACATGTTGGCTGGATTCACGAGTGAAGAGGCTGCTCTATCCATTCTAGCTTGGTTTGCGGTGGACTAAGTTGCTGGTCCAGCAAGATGAGAAAACATCAGAAGTTCTTCATTAGTTTTTTCAATTAACTTTTAGTCTATCTTGCACTGTAGGAACATAAAATTTCAACAGCCACTGTGAAAATTGAAAAGGAGTGTCCTTTGCTCTTCTCAATATCATTCACCGGACATGTGAAGTTTGCTCTTCAATACATTTCTAAAATGCCACTTCAGGAATAATAACTGAGATTTTACATGTTTCTTGGACAGCTATCTTATTTTGACAAATCAGATCACTTTTGAGGTTCTTAGAAAACGGCGCATCCCCTATATGAGGTTGGTTGGTCGTTTCTCCATATTTCTAGTATCATGTTATATTGTTGTAATGTAGCATGTTGTATCTCATGATTGCTTTGAGGTGGTGCTTTCATAATATGATAGCAGCATATATTGGCTTAACATCAGGATTTTCTTGTATTAAAGCGTGAGCTGACACTTGCGCTGATTTGCAGGAACATTCCTGAAGGAGTTTTTCCCTTTAGTAAAGGAGCATGCAGAAATTCGTACGAGTTCTGCTGTGCCCGGAGCAGCAAGTACAGGATGGAACCACTGCCAACAGCACTAGAACTTGAAGAGAAGTTGAGACCCTATACATACTCCGATGTTTTATCTTGTCGGTGTTGCTAATGATCACTTGTGCAATAGACATCAAAATTTTCCATCGATTGTACCAGTATGGAAAATCTTGGTCAAGTATTTGTTTGTGGTATTGGTATCAACATCATTGAATGGTAATCATAGGTACAATATTTCACATTTCTTTCAAGATATCTTCTCATGCCAAAATGCTGAGGAATGTAAAAATTTAGACATGGATGCATGGCTGTTCAAAATCTAACCTGAAGTAAAAAAAAATGCTATTGGTATAGGGTTATTGGTTTAACGGCTTAGGATTATTATTTTATTTTCGGGTTATTCTAATTAATTTCTATTGGAGACATAGAATCATCTGGATTGATGTATACTTTCCAATTTTCTGTCAAAATTGAAGATATTTAAAGTTGGGAATTGGGTGACCCAAAATCTATCTAGGCTAAAAATGGGTCTAATTTTTGGAGTAAAATTTGCTATTAGGAAATGGCTATATGGGTGGATGGTAATTATAGCCCATTGAACTTAAAGAATTTAGCCGTTTAATTAGCAAATTTGGCTAAAACTTAAATAAGAGAATTATTAACTAATAGCTCAAAAATATAAACTATACTAGATGAATGAAGCTAAGACAAATGATAGAACGACAACCAAGCTTGACAAAGATGAATTTGGTTCTTCGGTGAATAACACTAAATACAGAGGGAGGAATGATGGGATCCCTCTTATACTAACTGGCAGCAGGCCTGACATTGTGTTCAGCGTTGCACATTTGCAATCTTGTCCAAAGAAATGTCATGTGAAAAGGAACTGTGAAGCTAGTACTATGGTATCCAATAGGAGGAGACTCGTTTGATCTGGTAGGATTCGACTAGGCCGGTGGATAGAAAAAGCACGTCAGGAATGACTCCATGCCTAGTGTCTTGGGCTACAAAGAAACAGAACTCGGTTTCCCTGTCTACTGTTGAAGTTGAATACTGCCTCCTATTGTGCTCAACTCCCATGGAGCTTGAAGATTTTGGAATTAAAGTAGGTTGTATGGTTACCTATCAGATGGGATGGGACAAGTCAACACATGTGCTATGAATATGGCAAAGAACCCGGTACGAACAAAGCATATAGAAGATGTATCTCACCACTTTCTCAGGGACAACGTGGAGAAATGACTCACTCAAGACCAGATATCTTTACCAAACCACTTGGAAGAGAACGATATCGACTAGCCTTGGGGCTGGTGTGGTGTATCAATAATGATTCTTCTCTCAAAAGGCATAATTTTAACTAACTCATCTTCCTACCTACCTTGTCAGAGGCATACATACACCTACACTAGGTCAGGACAACACTTCTAATGATATTAACCTTAGTTTCCTCTAACTATGTTGCAAATGTGCTCTCATGTCAAGGAATAACAGGTATATATATATGCACCAATCCTCATTGTATTTAATTAACTATGCATCACATTCCAGCATATGGTTTTGTATTAAAAGAAGCTTTTTCAATTTGTTCATCAAGCAGACAACAACCTCCCTCTTTCTCTCACTTTTTTTTTCTTCATATAAGATGACTAAAATATAAAACCACATTAAGCCTAACGGGATGGCAATGGAACAGGCCATTCTCCTTCCCTAGCATCGCCTCGCCCCACGTGGTTACTTTTTTAGCTCATTTATTGCGAACAAGAATGGAGATGTTACCCTTTATTTGAAATGAAGATTGATGAACAAAACATAAAATGTTTGTGTGGAACTCATTTTATATGGAGTTCTTGATGTTAAAATTACCAATCTCAAACATGAACTTACTATCAATTAGTTCGATTACTTATGGAAACCTCTTCTGATAAATGAAAAATCTTAAGAAATATATAAAATAAATAGACTTCTTATAACATAGTTATTTTGCTCCTTAAGAGAAGGCATATGTTTCTTGAATTGATTAAAGAGTCAGATTTAAGAAGCAATGCCTAATGTGTTGAGATCTTGACATAATCCACCAGACATTTGCCATGACAAAAATAATAAGGGAGAAATACTTTAATAATTCTAGCTCTAAACTATAAGGGCAAAAAATGTTCTTTGCCTAGCTAAAAGAATCTAGAAATATGTACCCTACTACTAAAGGGTACCAACATTATTGTAATTTATAAATTCCTATATATGTACTTGTACTGCGTCATGAAGTGGAATACATATCAACAGAAATGCCTCTTCAAGTATTTTAGCAACAATTACTTCTTAAGGTAAAGTAAGTAATTGTTGGTCTCACTTTCAATGTTGGAACCTTCACCTTAAAGTTGACTGAACGTCTTGAACATTTTCCTTTGCAAAATAAGTTTCTAGTTTTGACACAAGTGTCGAGAAATCCAAAACGAAATGACCAGAAATTTGTCTCTTACGTTACTTACTACCTTTCGAGGGATTATTTGCATGATGAATAATCTTCCGAGAGCAATGACAATAAGTTGAGGAAGGAATTCAAGTTGAATGAATATTCCTTCTCTATCAGAGGGGTAAGATAAGTTACACCGCCGCCCACATGCATATAGAAGAAAGTAAGTCGGGAAAAGAGTACATGGACACCAAACTGTACTACAACATGTTTGCTTTTATCCATAATCTAATCTACAACAGTACCAAGGAAAAACATCTCCTAGTTCCAATTCCATTATACACCCAACTACATGATAGCCAGCCACTTCCAACATTTAGCTGTTCTCAGCAACAGCCTCGTCAATTTCATCTGCATGCTCTCTCAGTACATTCCACTGATCCATGCTCAATGAGATGCCTGAAAAAGGAAAACACTACAGTTAGTTTCAGTTTCCAACTCCTGCAAATACATGACCGAAAAATACAACATACCCAGTATATATTATTCCTATACGTGGGTGGGGTCTGGGGAGGGTGGTTGGTGTACACAGGCCCTACCCCTACCTTTATGGGGTAGAGAGGTTGTTTCCAATAGACCCTTGGCTCAAGAAAGGTCTTTTCAGGAAAAAATGGTTTGAACTAAAAGTTTTGGAAAAAGATTTCAAGAAAGAAAGATATAAGATGAATAAAAATATAAATAAATTTGTGTTGAGAATAGAAGATATAATTAAAGCAGTCAACAATTGGTGCAGGAGTTGTTTGACGTTTTATTTCAAGTATGAAGCACCAAGGAGATGCAGCGGTACATACATAGAGTACAAGAGCAAATTCCAGGACATGCTGAGGAATCTAAACAGATCAGCGAAAGAGGCAACAAAATCAAGCATAACATCTGAATTCAGCTATAGCTTATAAGCTGGGCTCAATCTAGCTTTGGATAAACCAGCTCATTCTCTCTTTCTATAAGGTTCCTTATGACCCAATTCAGCTCAATTAACAATGCCCATTTCTAACATCAATGGAAGGAGCAATGCTAGAGAGACAGCGTGCAGTATATACCCATGCTGGTCTTGCATATCAATCTTTAAGAACACTATTAATGCATCTCAAAGTATATCAGCTTGAGAAGCTCAGTACTGCAGTAAGCATAGTCAATGTGACTAAACAGCACAAAGGTAATAACTCCTCCCTTTTTCACATTGAAGATACAACCACTAACCTTGTGAAAATAAGTCCACATCCTCCAGTATCAACAACAACAACAACAACAACCCAATGAAATCCCACTAGGTGGACATCCTCCAGTATCACAGATTATAATTTATTGTACATTGTACAAGATGTATATATAGATCTTATAGGAAAAGGAAATAGCTCTGGGGAAGAAAGCTAACATTTGGAAGGACAGAGTCACCAAGGCATAGAGAAAAATGTTAACAGTTCCCTAGCCAGCGGAAAGGAGCTCCCTATTGTTTAACCAAGAACTAGCATTGGCACAACCTCTTCTTCTGACCATAAAAGCCACATCCAATGCATACGTCGATTTCTACACAACGGAGTAAACTTCAAAATATCTCTAGAGCAATATGATGTTGCTGTAGATTCTTCATTTCCCTAGAATTGCCAATGTCAACCCAGTATGATATGATTTGAGTTGATCTGTCTGATTACAATAATAATTAATAACCATGCCAGTTCATACAACACAAACTATATGACATGTGAACAAAGCATCAGTCCTGGGCAACTAGAAACAAAAAGATTGTTCAGTGAGCAATTATCCTTTCTGCGGATTACCTACAGTTCATATACCATTACCTAAGCTAATGATGACACCTCCCCGGAGAGTATAATTCTGAATTGGCTCGTGTATATAGAAAGATGTTCCTTCCATCAACCAATTTGATATAGGAACAATGAGAATTGCCTAGTTCTTTTTAATGGGCGTGGTATCTGAGCTAGCTCGTAGGCACCTCGACTATTCCACCAAGTATCTATTGCTATTCCCACCAGGACAGGTACAGGGTACCCCTCCCACTTCATTGACCAACAGGCCACACCTCAAGTGTTGCTAATTGACAATTCTTAGAACCGACTTAAATTGCAAAAAAAAAAAAAAAAAAAAAATATCCTCCCTTAGTAAACATCATATTAATCCTGAACCTGTTCCATAAAGATGACCAAAATTTATCCTCAAGTCTCCAAATTTTATAGCAGTCTCTTAGTCTTAATATTCTTTGTCCTCAAGTCTCCAAATTTTATTGCAGTCTCTTAGTCTTAATATTCTTTCTTCTCCAAAGGTAAGAAACAATTTGCCGCCTATGGATATTAGGATTTAATTGTATATAGGTAGCCTTGTGCAAACATAAATACTGTTTCACATGAATAAGTACACAAAGCAATTTGTGACCTATCTGCTTTGTTTCAAGGATGTTGAAACTGCTTGCATATCTAAGATGTGTTAGGGAAAATACTATAATATTGATACCAGACAGGAATTCAAAATAGTAAGCGAACCATCACAAACATTGTGTCATGGAAAACCACTACCTTGAAAGCGATTTCGGCTTGATTCCGGAGAAAATCGTTACGGCCAGTCACTCTGCAAGGTTCCACAACTCTTTAAACACTTACACTCGTGGCTAGAAGTTTGGAGTGGCACAAGTACAATAACTCAGAAACTATTCGAGATAATGGAAGAATTGGTGAAGGAGAGAGTAAATAAAAGAGAGGCTTCTTTGTTCTCTTCTGTATACACAATTCCTAAAACGAAACATGAGGAGACCAGAGAGAAAATAAAA